GGGACAGGGGTTGGGGGAGCCCCCCTGCCAGTTCTCTCAGCACTCTAGGTTGTCCCCCATCCAGCCCCACAGATTTATGCACGTCAATATGGAGCAGCCGGTCACTGACCTTCTCCTCCTGGACTCGGGGGGACACATTTTGTTCCTGGCCCCTGTCTCTTGCCTTCAGGACTGACTTTCCCCAGTACAAGTGTTCCTATTACTAAAGACTGAGGCAAAGAAGGCATTAAGCACCTCAGCCTTATCCTCTTCTCTTATTACCATATTACCTCCTGGATGTAGTAGAGAATGGAGGCTCTCCCTGGTCTTTCTTTTGTTGTTAATGTATTTATAGAAACTTTTCTTGTTGCCCTTTACCTCCAAAGCCAGATTAACTTCTAGCTGGGCTTTGGACCTTCTAATTGCCTCCCTGCATAACCTAACAACATTCTTGTCCTTATTATGAGTGGTCTGCCCCTTCTTCCAGAGGCCATAGACTCTCCTTTGTTCCCTGATTTTTAAGCCAAATCTCCCTATTCAGCCAGGCTGGTCTTCTTTGTCACTGGGCCATCTTACAGCACATGGGGATGGCCTGTTCTTGTGCCTAAAACTTGCTAGACTTGCTACTGCCTCTTGCTCTAGTTCAAAACTAGAGAGAGGCTAGATCATGCATTCACTAGAGCTGGGAAGGAAACCCAAAGAAACCCCAGCACCCTTCCCTGACTGGCCCTGGGCAGCCGCCCAGCATGGGCTGCTCTGACCTGTCCCTGACCAGCCCTGGGAAAGGGCTTGTTTTGCTGCCACCGCACTCTCCCCTCGCAGACCGTAGCTCACGCGTTGCTCAGCTCCCAACACCATCCATCTCCAGGTCCAGAGAGCCTTAATTTCACATGAATAACCATCTACATCCCCGGCTGCCTCGAACCCAAAGTGCAGTGGCCAGTGTGCTCCTCCATGCTGAGCAGACACCCTTGGCTACCCATCAGGTACTCACCCAAATCATGTGTGACATTAAACCCATCCTGGGCGACACTGGCCACGAGGCCCAGCAGCTCGGACCACAGGAGTCTGCCAAAGGAGAAAGGACAAAGAGAAATGTGCTTTGGAGGGGTGCAGGGTGGTGGGGAGCAAGCGCAGGCCTTGGTTCTGTGGTCAGGGGGCTCCTGAAAGACCAGGCTGTTGGGCTAGTGGTGGTCAAAAGGAGCACTGAGCTTTCAGTGGGTTGTTTCTTTTTATCAGGACCATCTCAGTGCTCCATGATGGGCAGCAGAGTGTCAGTGCAAGGACAGAGGAAGGGGCATCTCTGGAGCAAAATATCAAGCCAGGCTCCAGCCTTGAGCAAGTCATTCAGACCCCTCTCTCCCTGTCCCAACAGGCCATCAAGGACAGCTATGCTTCTTAGGGTCCAGCTAAAGAGAGAATGAAAATACACAGACATGCATGAAAATGTTCTGTGCCTATTGCTAAGAGAATGTTTATTGTCCCTCGTTAGCCAAAATTTCACTTTGCAGAAAACCTGACCAAGCTGAATTCTTTCTTTCGTTAAATGAAGTACCAAAAAATGAGCATATTTTTCAAAACGAGACTCCAAGTACCCCTTAGCTAGTGGTTTTGACTGGTGGCTGAGAACATGGTCTGATGGCGAGGGCTCATGTGCTCCCAGCTCCCCCGCGGGGACCCCAGGGCACAGCCTGCCTGTGCCAGCCTCGTGTCTTACCTCCCGTGTAACTGGTGCGCCTGGTGCATTCCTTGTATCATGCCTGGCACCCCCACGAGCAGACCTGGCTGTAAAATAGGGAGGACAAAAAGGAATAGTAGTCTCCTTCCCATGAGGACATGGGACATGGTCCCCAACTGCAAGTCAAGGAGATGCAATCCATGTTCACATGGGAAGTGTCTGCATGGTCTTTAGGAGAGGAGAAGAGGTCTGAAGCAATACACTAAATTAGGGAATAAAATTTTTTTGAAGGAAAGAGGCAAATTCAATCCTGGTCTCAACCCAGTTTGGTCAGGAGAAATAACTCAGCAGAGTGACACAGGATTGTGCTCCTTCCTGGGGCTCCTGTTCTCCCGGCTCCCCACTGCCAGAGGGACATGGCTCTTTACTCCCCAAGCCCTGCAGGCTCCAGGCATTTTGGAGCTGCCAAAGAAGTATTTTCCCTGGACTTCCCATGTTGTAGGGCCTGTGATCTCCCATGGTGGGAAAGGCCTCCTGTCACCTCTCTGGGCATCTCCTCCCCCTTGGCCCAAGAGCTGCAGGCAGAGGAGAGACAGAGACATCAGCCAGCTGTAGCCTTGGAGGGGTCGGCTGTGGGACACTGGTCCTCACCTTGGTGTCCTTCTGCAGGTCCTGCTCCAGTGGCACATCCAGGGGAGCCACCTCGCGGAAGTCGATCACCCAGCTCCTGTTCTTCCGGATGTCATGGACCAGCATCACCCCACCCCTGCAGCGAGATGGGCGTCACGGCACGGCACCAGCTGTCCCTGCAACAGCCGCTGCCGTAAAGCCAAAATGAAAAGTGTGGGTGCCACTGGGGCCAGGGCCAGTCCCGGCATGACAGGGCCATCGTGGCAGGTCACCAGCCTCAGAAGTGACCCAGGGCTGGCCAGCAGTGCAGGGGAACAGTGCTGCGCTTCCCCAGAGAGCAGTTCAGGTCAACCAAGCCAGGGCCGGTGTGGGATGCAGGCAGTCCCCATGCTGAGCCTGCAGTGAGGCTTGGTCAGGCCCTGCCAGCCTGGCCAGAGGGCCACTGGCTCTGTTCCACTGCCAGGCTGGGACTAACTGGGATTTTCTTTCTAATCCGAACAGTTTTGCAACGAAACAGGGGTTTTGCTTACAACGGCAATCAGCGTCACAGCCCGGAGAAGCTATCAGGTGGCAGCGTTTTATGTAACCTTCCCGAGACCTCCCGCAGAGCTGAGAGCACTGGCTCACGTGGATGCCACCCTGGGGACCGGCTCATGTGGATGCCACGCTGGGGACGAGGGCTGGGAGGAGGCCACCCCTCGCTGCCATGCCTCTCCTGGCTGCTGCCCGGAGCCAGGCTCAGACCTTAGTCTCCTGTTGCAGGAGCAGAGCTTATGGAGGGAAGCACTCAACCTCTGAAAGCGTTGGGACCGAGCCCAGGGCGTGGCACGCTCCTGGCACACTCACAGAGGGGCTCCAATCACTTTTTCAACCCTCTTGAGCCTGAGGCTTGGACTTTCCTGGCAGCCAGTATGGCAGACACAACTTTTCCCTCCCTGGGGGTCTCTGTCTCTCAGCATCATCTCGGTGCAGACATGGACACATCCACCACCAGAAGTCAGAGACCTGGTACCATGCACTGAGACTCGGGCTACCATGAAGGCTCGTCTCAGCTGGTGGGAAAAACCACCTGCTTGAGGACAACCACAGATGACAGCACAGGGATGGGTGATCAACACTTACCCACCGATCCCCGACGTGTGTGGGTTGACGACTCCGGCGCAGAGGGCCGAGGCGATGGCTGCATCTACCGAGGAGCCCTGCTTGTTGAGCACCTCTATGCCCAGCGCTGTGCAGCGGGCAGCGTCCGTGACCACAGCGCCACGGTGAAAGATCTGCCGGAAGAGGAGAGCGGTTGTGCCTGAGGAGGGGTGCTGGGGCTGCCCAGATCTTCACCCAGCTCTGTGGGACCTGAAGGCTGAGGCCAGTGCCAAGGCTGCGGTTGATCAGGTGCCTCCAAATGTGGTGGGAGTAATACATCCCTTGGCACGTCCCTGCACCAGGGCACCTGTGGCCACTCTGCATGTCGCTGTGGCCATCAGCTCAGCCGGCTTTCAACAGCAGACATGCTAATCTGCTGGGCTACATCTCACCCTCACAGCCCCAGAGCAGGGTCAGACTAATCCTCAAGAACAATGGGCGACAGTGTGCTGTCACTGCGCTGCGGCAACGCGGTCCCTGGAAATGGGAATATAGCAGCAAAGAATGCAGCATCCCCCCCAGGGGGATGAATGTTGTCATCCTTCCCCGGTGCCAGCAGTGCTAATGCAGTCACAGGACGTTTCAAAAGGTTCATTTTAACCCTATGCTACAAATTGCAGCATCTCAGCATGCGCCAGAGTGGCCTTGGGAAGTGCGAAGACGGAAGGGCCATGGCGGGCTGGCAGGCAGGACTGGCCCCCCCAGCGGTGCCACGCAAGGGGCTGCGTTGCACAGCCTCCCTCCGGCGCCGCGCCCCAGCCAGCCGCGGGG